ACCTGGTCTACATAGTGAGTTCCAGGCCAGCTGGGGCTACAGGGAGACCCTGTCTCAAAAAGACCAATAAATAAATAAAGAAATAAAGAAAGAAAGAAAGAAAGAAAGAAAGAAAGAAAGAAAGAAAGAAAGAAAGATAAGAAAAATTTAAGCTGTTTTGAGAAATGAAACTTTACTGTGGTGCTTTAAAATATGTATAATGCGGCTGGGCATGGTGGCGCACGCCTTTAATCCCAGCAGTTGGGAGGCAGATGCAGGCAGATCTCTGTGAGTTCAAGGCCAGCCTGGTCTACATAGTGAGTTCCAGGACAGCTGGGGCTACAGGGAGACCCTGTCTCAAAAAGACCAAAGTAAATAAATAAATAAAATAAAATATGTATAATGCATATGAATATGTAAGCCTATCAAATGTTTGAATTCCCCTTAATTCGGATCCAGATTTTGAGGCTTGATACAGCTGGACAAGGCTGCAGCCTAGATAAAATACCTACTTCCTGTACACTCCTGATGTCCTGCATGATCTTTCCTGAAATACTAGGAACCCAGTCTGGTTCCTTTGCTATCTCTCCAGCCCCCGCTCCTGATCTTTAAACTGACTACAAAGCAATAATAGTTAAGACTGTGGTAACATGGATGTTAATGGACTAGAATTTAAAATCCAGAAATAAGCCCTTAGATTTATGGCCAATTTTTATTTATTTATTTATTTATTTATTTATTTATTTATTTATTTATTTATTTATTTTTGAGACAGGGTTTTCCTGTAGATCTAGCTGGTCTGGCACTTGCTATATAGACTAGACTAGCTTCCATCTCACAGAGATCCACCTGCCTCTGCCTCCCGAGTGCTGGGATTGAAGGTATGTGCGATAACAGCTGCCGATTTATTTTTTAAATAGACTTTAGTTATGAGAGAAATTTTAAGCTCACAGTAATATTTAGCAGAAAAGCACAGGGAGTTCCCATAACTCCCTGCCCCCAAGTGCACAACCTCTTCCACTGCTGAGATCCTGCATCAGAAAGAATACTTTTTTTTTTTTTTTGGCCTTTTTGAGACAGGGTCTCCCTGTAGCCCCAGCTGTCCTGGAACTCACTATGTAGACCAGGCTGGCCTCGAACTCACAAAGATCTGCCTGTCCCCGCCTCCCAAGTACTGGGATTAAAGGCCTGCGCCACCATGCCTGGCTCAGAAAGAATACATTTGTTACAACTGATGAGCCCAGGGACACATTATTACCCATTACAGTCTACTCTGGGTGTTGTGCTTTCCCTGAGTTCTGACAAATGCATAATGGTGTGGATACACAATTACAGTCTCACACAGAATAGTCTCACTGCCCTCAAATCCCTCTGTGCTCTACCTATTCACCATTCTTTCCCCACCATACTTCAAAATCACTGATTTTTTATTGTCTCTGTAGCTAATTTTTTCTTTTTTCTTGTACAGGGCATTGAAGCCAGAGCTTTGCACATAGTAGGCAAGTGCTCTACTGCTGAGCCAGATTTCCAGCACTTGGATGATGATGATGATTCTGTTTTTGGTTTTTGAGACAGGGTCTCACTTTGTAGACCAGGCTTTTCTGGTACTTACTGTGTGACCCAGGCTATCCTTGAAACCTTGCTTATCTTCCTGCCTCAGCTTCCCAAGTGCTGAGATTGCAGACATGAACCACCATGCCTAGCACAGCCCTTGGATTTTTTTTTTTTTTTTTTAGTTCAATAGGATTTTATTTAAAAATCTGCAAAGCTGGAGGGATCTGATCTTCTGTTAAAAGAAAGCAATTTTCACAGTTTATATTTAGCCATTTAGCTTTGTGTTGAATAATAACAGAAAAGGAAGTTTCTGTTCAAGCGGCTCACTTCAGCATGCTGAGTCAGGTGCTAGACATCCTGGGGGAAGGTGGCATGCTCCCTGGTGTGAGGTTTATAGCCAACCCTTCACCAAGTGGAACCCAGCTCTCCTCCAGGCACATACAACAAGGTCTTTTTGCTCTCTACACAGGGTCTCAAAAATCTCTTATTTTAAAGTTGGAAAATGTGAAAGGATTCCTTAACTCATCACCTACAACAAAGTAAGTCTTGTGAATTGCAAGAATAAAAGACTTGGTTGGGCGTGGTAGTGCATGCCTTTAATCCCAGCACTCAGGAGGCAGAGGCAGGTGGATCTCTGTGAGTTCAAGGCCAGCCTGATCTCCATAGTGAATCCAGGTCAGCTAGGGCTACAGGGAGACCCTGTCTCAAAAAAAAAAAAAAAAAAAAAAAACTTGAAATTAAAAGCCAAGTTCAATGGAACAACTCACACGGCCAAAAATAAGGTCAAGTAACATGCCTGCGTATATTTAAATGACTTAAGAAAACTTATGGAAACAAGACTCCTACTGACGATTGCTACCTGATGGTCAAAAAAATAGAAGAGAAGCAAACATATACTGCTGTCTGCCACATTGGTATGCCTACAGGGAATGTCACCCTTAAATTGGGTTAACTGAATTAATCTGGGAGAAAATAAAGGTCTATAAACCAACACTTATATTACTTTAAATGATGAGGTAGATTTTTTCCCCCTATATGGTAAAGTGTGAGGATAACAAAAAAAAAAAAAACAACTCATACAACTTTCAAATGCTCTTTAAAATAGAAGTTCAGGCTGTGGTCACTTTCATAAATAACACATTTATAAATGAGGTGGAGAGGTTGGACTTAGACCCATCATGCACTCGAGATGTTACTTGCAGATTCAATAATCAGTCTTGGATCAATCAACTCTTTCCAAAGCACAGTAATCCTCCTCTCCTGTGCCACAGTGTACTCAACCACCTCAGTTCCATTTTCGTTGTGATAGACCAAATCAAATTTCCCAGGTTCTTTCAAGGCAGGTAAGGATGAGAGAATTTCTATATCTACTTGCTGGGTCTCTGGATCATGGCTTAATATTTTTCCTTCCTTGTAGTCAGAGACATCAGGAGAGTAGTTGGATGTTAGTTCCAAAAGCTTAAATGCAATCTTTTCTCCAACTTGAGGGGCAGCTGCCAACAGTGGTAATAGACTATAATCCTTCTCATGTATCTCTACTGGATTCTGGATAATGGTGGGATGAGTTAGTTACTATCTCATTTAATTGCTGCTCCTTCTGACACTCCAGGTTTCTATTCAAAATGCAGAAGATAGCATGCCCTTGACCTTGACCTTTGCCCCATATGCCCTGGCCCCTTGGTCCCCTCCAAGACAAGAAGTCCTCTCCTCGCCCCCATCCTCTTCCCAAATTGGTGGGTACAGACACACCGGGGAGACCAGGATCCTGTCTGCCTTTACTTGAGTCTGAAGGCTTCCATCCTATAGTACCTGGAGTCTGCAACAGCAGCCCTGGGCCTGGACACCCTCGCCCTGCAAAGAGGCCTGCTGTCTTTAGGAGGTCTGCAGCACTGGGGGAAGTATTCTTGGACACCACACACTTTTTATCTGAATCTGAGCTGAAATATGAACTGGAAGAAGAGGCTCTGGTGGCCTTGCCCTTGCTGGGATTGAAGGTGAACATGGATTTGTTGAGTGCTGTGGTTTTTGTAGCCAGCCCAACTTTTAACAGTTCAGCTGACAGTTTGTCTGCGGCGTTGCCACCCTTCGCTGTGACACTGCCCTGACCATTGCTGGATGACTCCCCAGAAGACTCAGACTCAGGGACAGAGTTGGGACCACCTTTGGGTCCAGCGCTGGCCCTGCCTTTCCTGCGGGCTTTGGCAAGGTTGCTTCTCGGGGCGCCTTTGGGAAGACTGCAGTTCTGCAGGCTCCACTCTTTCTGCGCTTTAGGAGACTTGGGGTTCCTGCTCTGTTTCCTGTGTTCACATTTCTCCTTCCTTTCTGGTGACTTCTTTTTGCTCTCCTCCTCCTCATCTGCTGTGCTGTCACTTTACTTTTTCTCTTGCTTTTTTCCCTCCCAGGCTGATCTGAGACAGGTTTTGTTTCCAGATCCAAGGCATTCTCGTTGTGGCTGTTGCTCTTTTGTTTCTTCCAATGCTTCTTGAAACACTTGTAACCTAGCTCCAATTCTTCGTCCTCCACCAACCTAAAAGCCACTTCTTTGCTTTTCTAGGTGTGAAATAAGAGTCATCACCATTACTGACTAGTACCAAGTTCTCAGGCGTTTCTCTGTCTTCTAACTTAACCCTGAGGCAGTCGTTGTCCGGCACCAGGCGTGCGCTCTTGGCGGGGGGCAGGAGCCCCCCTTCCAGGTAGAGGCCCAGGAGCGCCCTGGAACTGAAGCCGAAGCGCTGGCAGATGAGGCTGATGAGATCCGTGACGACTCGGCGTTTGTTCAAGCAGTGCGGGGTGGCTGGCGGCCGGTAGTCAAACTGAAGCCTTAGCCTAACGGTCTCGGAGGCTGATATGTTGCTTGCGCTCAACGAAGTCCAGCCCTTGGATTTTAAAGGTGGGTTCTCACTATGTGGCTCAGGCTGGCTTGTATTCCCTATATAGCCCCAACTGGCCTGGAACTCACCATCTTCCTGCCTTAACCTTCTGAGTGGTGGAATTACAGGTGTGCAACACTATACCCAGCTTGTTTCCATAGTTCTTCCTTTTCTAGTGTACCACATAGTACATACAGTTGAGTTGGAGACTGGCTCAGTGGTTAAGAGCACATCTTCTCCTATAGACGACCCCAACTTGGTTCCCAGCACCCAGGTCAGATGGCCCACAACAACCTGTAACTCCAGTTCCAGGGAATCCAAAACCATCTTCTTGCCTCGATGAGTACTACACTCGCATGTACAAAAACACACACACACACCACCACCACCACGCACACACACACAAATATTTTAAAGAGAAAAAGGGGGCTAGAGAGATGGCTCAGTGATTTAGGTCACTTGCTATTCTTGCAGAGAACCCAATTCATTTCTCAGCATTCATGTGAGGTACTCACAACTGCCTTTAACTCCAGCTCCAGGGCATCTGATGCTCTTTTCTGACCTCCTTGGGCACCCAAACACTTATGGCATACATACACATATACATGTAATTAAAAATAAAATCATTCCAGGTGTGGTAGTACATACTTTTAATCCCAGCACTTGGGAGGCAGAGGCAGGAGGATCTCTGTGAGTTCAAGGCCAGCCTGGTCTACATAGTGAGTTCCAGGACAGCTGGGGCTACAGGGAGACCCTGTCTCAAAAAAGACCAAAAAAAAAAAAAAAGCTGGAAAAATAAAAGACATTCCTGGTAGGTGCAAGTCTGTAATGCCAACTACTTGGGAGGCTGTGGCAGGAAGATATTTAGTTAAAAGCCTGTCTGGGGGGCTGAATAGTCAGTGGTTGAGAGTACTGACTGCTCTTACAGAGGACCTGGGTTCAATTCCCAGCACCCACAGGGCGGCTAACAACCATGGGTAACTCCAGTTCCAGGGGAATCCGCCTTTTTCTGACCTCCGCAGGCATTGCATGACATGGGTGCACTTATGTACATGCAGGTATAACACTCATACATATAAAATTAAAAAAAATAAAAGATTTAAAAAAAAACCTGTCTGGGCTACAGAACAAATTCAAGACCAGTCTGAGCACATTATGAGTGTGAGTGTGTGTGTGTGTGTGTGTGTGTGTGTGTGTGTGTGCCTGCATCATGTAGGTGTCCAGAGGACAGAAGAGGTGGCAGACCTCCTAGAGCTCCTGACATGGTTTCTGGGAACTGAATTTAAGTCCTGTGGAAGAAGAACAAGTACTCGTAACCATGAATCCTTATTCCCATTATCCCCAATGTTGAGATGAGTCTGTATAGACTTTGCAAAAATGATTCCTTAAAAAAATTTTTTTATAGACAAGGTCTCCTGTAGCCCCAGCTGACCTAGAATTCATTATGTAGACCAAGCTGGCCTCAACCTTACAGAGATCTGCCTGCTTCTGCCTCCTGAGAGCTGGGACTAAAGGTGTGCGCCACCACACATGGTATAAAATTTTTATTTATTTTTATGTATATGAATGTTTTGCCTGCATGTATATAAATGTACCCATGTCTGTGGAGCCAGAAGGGGCATCAGATCCCCTTTGAACTGGAGTTACAGTTGGTTGTTAGCCACCATGTGGGTTCTTGGAATTGAACCTGGGTTCTTTGTTTTGATTTTATTTTATTTTATTTTTTTGGTCTTTTTGAGACAGTCTCCCTATAGCCCCAGCTGGCCTGGAACTCACTATGTAGACCAGGCTGGCCTTGAACTCACGGAGGTCCGCCGGCCTCTGCCTCCTGAGTGCTGGGACTAAAGGTGTGCGCCACCACACCCAGCTTGAACCTGGGTCCTTTGTAAGAGCAGCTAGAAACCACTGAACCATCTCTCCAGTTCGCCTCCCTCCCCTTTTTTGAGACAGGGTCTCAAGTATCCCTTCCTGACCTTGAATTGACTATGTAATGGAGGATGACCTTGAACTCCTTTTGTTTGGTTTGGTTTTGGTGGTTTGGATTTGTTTTATTGTTGATGTTCTTTTTGTTGTTGTTGTTGTTGGTGGTGGTGGTGTGTGTGTGTGTGTGTGTATGTGTGTGTGTGTGTGTGTGTGTGTGTGGTATGCATGTGGGCCCATGTGGAGACTAGGGGTTTAGGGGTTGATGCCAGGATTATTCCTAAATTGATTCTCCACCTTATTTTTTCAGACACTGCACGTATGTAAGTGCACCTATGAGTGCAATACCCGAAGAGGCTAGAAGAGTATGTTGGATCTTTTGGAACTGGAGTTTCAGACAATCGTTACCTGCTATGTAGGGTCCTGGGAACCAAACCTAAGTTCTCTTCAAGAGTACTCAGTGCTCTTAACTGCTGAGCCATTTCTTTAGCTTATTTATTTATTTGTGTGTGTGTGTGTGCATGGTATGCCATGGCACACATATGGAGGTCATGTGGAACCCAGGAATTCAGTTCAGATCATCAAGCATGACAGCAGACATCTTTACCCATTGAGCCATCTTGCCAGCCCTCCTCACATAATTTTAGTTGTTCCTTCACAGTCTACTATTCTCTGGTAATATACAAACAACTGTGTCATGGTTTTGTTCCCTTGTGAGCTCCTATATCACATAAAATTGATGTCATTTTGTATGCGTTTTCCTATTAATCTGTCTTGTGTCAATGTAAGTCTTAAGCCATGCTGGGACTCTCAAGAGGGTGAAAGAAGAGCTAGCTCCCTTGCTCCTGTGTTCTGGGGAGGAAGACGGGATCATCAAAGACTTGGATCCCCATTTTCTCTGAGGATGCAATCCTCAGAGAACAGAAAAGAGCCACCACAAGGTAGGAATTCTCCCGAAGTCAACACTGCTAGATTTCTATCTGTAGACTCTGAAGACTGATTGATTGATTGATTGATTGATTTTGAAACAGGGTCTCACTGTAGCCCTGCTGGCCTAGAACTCCCTATGTAAACTAGGCTGGTTTTGAACTCACAAAGATCCTCCTAACTCTACCTCCCAAATGCTGGGATTAAAGGCCTGTGACACTAAACCACGCCTGATTTCTTGTAGCAATGAGTTCTTTTACGTGTTACTCTTAAAAATGGTTCTGAATTACTACTCGGTGCTTGTTGATCTTCAGGTTCCCAGAAATGCTCAGTGCATTCCTGGTCTGTCTGTGAAGTTTATCATAAGGAAGACAGGGTAAGATTCTGCTTTGTTCTCTTGAAGACTTGGCTTTGTGACCAGTGCAAATAGACCTTCTGTTCTTCGCCAGCTGGGGACAGCTTGTCAGGCTGGTTCCAGGCAACTAGCCAGCTGGAATCAAACACAGAGTGTCCCTTTGTTTAAGATGCCAATTCTCTGAGGAGTTTTTCTTAATTATCTGAGCCTTGCTTGCCTTGTTAATAAGAGTTTTTGCTTTTTATGATATCTTAGAAGAAATTCTGTTTTCTTTTCTTTTTTTTTTTTTTTTTAATTGCTGTTTTTCAGACAGGCTCCCAAGTATTCCAGGCTGGTCTTGAACTTGTTATGTAACTGAGATGGCCTTGAATTCCTGATCTTGCCTCTACCTCCCAGTTGCTGGGATTACAGATGTGTATCACCATGGCCGGCCTGAGATTGATTTTTTGGATCTTAAAAGAGACCCCACCACTTTGGCAACCTTTTTGGAACATATGTCTTGTGTCCATGGTCAGTGAAACTGTAACTGGAATTTTAGGACTCCAGCAGCCCCAACAGGCTAGGCTTAACAGCCCAAACCCCAAACATCAATTAAAGAGACAAGGGATGTTATGAGAGGAGACTTAATGCATATTGTAAAGAGGAACTTATAAAAGTGTCCAGGTGAAAGGGGACAGGAAGGACAGATAGGGCCATCTTTATATTCCTATAGGAACACATATTGTAGAAAGGAATCTGCACACAACGTAAGTAGCCTGGAACATATACACTGTTAATAGTTTATTCTGAGTTAACCTTTAACTTAGCTGTAATACAAGTGGCAACTCAAGAGGAAGGCCAGACTCAATGGCCTCCCCAGACTGCCTAGACTCAGTAGCCTTGGTGTATGCACACCCCATACTACTCAGAGAGAAGCAACAAAGAGAGAAAACTCCAACCTTAGAAACAAGCTGACCACATGACCAAGGGACAAGACTAAATGGTGGAATGATGGACTGCCTTTGCTAACACTTTCTGCATAACATGCTTGATGAAGATAAAAGCCACATGTTCACACACATAAAAATAAAAATAAATAAAGATGTATCCCAGAGATGAGTCAGGCAGGGGGCTTGTGCTGTATAGCTTCAATTGTCAACTTACATACCTGGGAAGAGGGAACCTTAATTAGGTAACTTCCTCTATCAGATTGGCCTGGGAGCATATCTATGAGGCATTTTCTCCCTTGTTGGTGTTCTGGGAGGGCCCAGCCCACTGTGTGCAGTGCCACTCCTGGGCAAGTGGTCCTGAAAGCAGGTTGAACAAGGGCCACAGGACCACCTGCCCAGGGGTGGCACCACCTATAGTGGGTTGGGCTCTCCTTCACATATCACTCAATGATCAAGAAAATGCTCCACAGACATAGCTACAGGCCAATCCACAAGAAATTCCTCAATTAAGGTTCCCTCTACCCAAGTGTGTCAAGTTGACAATTGAAACTATCCAGCACAAGCCCCCTACTGAATTCATCCTTGAGATACATCTTTATTTTTATTTTTATGTGTGTGAATGCCTTGCCTGCATGTATGTAAATTTACTACATGTGTACAATGCCCACAGAGACCAGAAGAGAGCATCAGATCCCATGTAACTGGAGTTATGAATGGTAGTTAGCCAACATGTGGGTGCTGGGAACTGAACTAGAGTTCTCTGTAAGAGCAGTAAGTGCTCTTGACCACTGAGCCACCTCTTCAACCCTAAAGATGGTTCTTGACTCTTACTGATCCTTGGAACAAAACAAGTTCTTCAAGGTCCTTATCTTAGCCAATCTTAGATAAAATACAACTCTAAAAATGTGAAACTGGGACTAGAGAGATGACTCAGTGGTTAAGAGCATGTACTGCTCTTACAGAGGACCTGAGTTCAGTTCCTAGCATCTACTTTGGGTGGCTCACCATTGCCTGTTACTCCAGCTTCAGGGCATCCAACACCTTCTTCTGGCCTCTGTGGGCACCTGCACACATTCCTCACAGACATATCTGCATATACATAATTAAAAATAAAGAATATGAGCTGGGTGTAGTGGCGCATGCCTTTAGTCCCAGCATTTGGGAGGCAGAGGCAAATGGATCTCTGTAAGTTCAAGGCCAAGCCTGGTCTACAAAGTGAGTTCCAGGCCAGCTGGGGCTACAGGGAGACCCTGTCTCAAAAATTCTAAAAAATAAAATAAAAATAAAAATAATTTAGAAAGTGAAATTAAGTTTAAAAATGATCATTTAAGTCGGGCATGGTGGCACATGCCTTTAATCCTAGCACTCGGGAGGCAGAGGACAGAGGCAGGTGGATCTCTGTGAGTTCAAGGCCAGTCTGGTCTACATAGTGAGTTCCAGGACAGCTGGGGCTACAGGGAGACCCTGTCTCAAAAAGACCAAAAAAAAAATCATTTAAAAATTGTTTAACCTGTTAAAGACACATAAAAACATCTTAGAGATTATAGAGTTTATAGATGAGTAAAATGTGCTTCATTATATCATAAATACAATTTCTCTTTCACAATGAATTTAGTTGGTTGGGAAGTTGTTGGCCCAGAGTATGTGTTATGCAAGTATGAGGACCTGAGTTCAAATCCCTAGCTTCTATGTAGTGATCTTCCTTTTATTGGAGCATGTTGATGTTGAAGATCACTGCCATGTTTAAACTCTGCAGAAAGCATGCTTGGCATACCTGTCAAGTCACCACCAGCCAAGAATGTGTATGCTGGCAAAGCCAGATGGGCTTGTATGCAGATGCAGGTTCTGAAGTACAGTGTCCTTTATGCTTAGATAAAACTCCATGCCTTATTTATGTTGCCATGTAAGCATCTGCTCTATACCTTGTAAACAGGCCACATTTTGTTACTAATAGCTTTCTGAGCCCCTGCAGACAAATGTCCTTTCATCAGCCTCCCCTTTGTTCCTAAATGAGCTTAGAGCATCTCACCCCCAAGAGCAAAAACTTTGGGAGTTGGAAACTGGGGGCTCTTTGTCCTGCAGAACAGAGAGCCTCCCAGTTTCTGACTTTCTTTACTACTAAAATGTTTCATGTATTGGTGCTGGTCCCTTCTGTGTCTACCTGTACCACCCAGCTGGGCAGGAGTTAGCAGGAGTTAACAGAAACATTTCATCCTGGAGCAAGGTTAGTTAAGACTTAGGAAGTATGGCGCACGCCTGTAGTCCCAGCACTCAGGAGTCAGAGGCAGGTGGATCTCTGTGAGTTCAAGGTCAGCCTGTTCTATATGGTGAGTTCCAGGCCAGCTGGAGCTACAGGGAGCCTGTCTCAAAAAGGCAAAAAAAGAAAAAAAAAAAAAAGACTTAGGAAGTAAACAACTCACAAGTCTTAGGAAAACCCTGAAACTTACCAGATTCTCAAGACAGCCCCCCCACCCCCACCCGGTTATAAAAGTAGTAATGACTGCTGAGCAGACTCCTCAAACTTTCAAGCTATCTGCAAGTTGTGCCGAAGACCAAGCTTCCAGTGTTTATGCATTGTCAACCGTGCTAGGATGGGCTTTTGGTGATGCAACTGCCCTTCAGTCATTCCTGCTCCTGTAAATAACCACTCATACTCTTGAAAGTAATCCCAGCAAACTCATTGGTTCACCAAGCTGGACTTCACTGGTATCTTTACTTTCTTGTCAGTTCCTTATCTGGGGTGGGTAGACATTTGTTCACATGATCCCAGGAATAGTGTCACACAATGCATTTGGTGCCTGAACAGGGACTGACAGAACCAAAGATAAGTTGGGGAGGAGTGGCTGCATGGCCCCTTCAGTGGGTGCTGAGACGTGTAGCTGAGGCTGATTTGTGTGAGGGCGGAGCATCCACAGGGAAATCTCGATATGGCTACCTTTCCCCATGTGGCATGGGATATTGTGCTCCTTGCTGTGCTGGTGGTTGATAGATTTTAGAGCGCAGAGTACAGGAACAGGAAACAAAGAGACCAAGTCTGACCTCAACAGACGAGACTGTATTTATTAGCACACTGAGGGGCAACAACCTTCCCTTGGGATGAAGGCTGTGCACAGAGTGAAGTGAGGCTTAGGGTTTTATAGGGTCTCTAGGAAGGCAGCTCCAAAGGGAAGTTTGGAAGCAGCTGCAAGGGGTGGTCTAGAGAAAGCTACTGGAGGAAGTTTGTTCCTGCCAGGGGGAAGTCTGTTCCCAATATAGAACCAGATGCTCTTAGGATAGGGGTTGGGGGACCAGATGCTCTGTGGTCAGGGGTCCCTTGTAGTGCCAATTTCCTTTAGTGGTTGCATATTCTCTGTGATGAGTGACCGGACATGACAATCAAGTCTGAGCTGAGAATGAAACACCTGTGGG